TTGTTGCAGAAAATTTACCTTTCGCGTTCGCGTGTGTGGGTCCGCGTTCGCGGAGGGCTAGCTAATTGTGCATCGCGTTCGCGTGGCAGTAGCCGCGAACGCGTATAAGGAATTGGGTTTAGGGGGATTTTTAGTCTTCGCGTTCGCATATGTGCAGTCACGTTCGCGTATTGGCCTGTGAGGAAGCTTCGCGTTCGTGGGGTGGGGATCGCATTCGTGAAGGGCATTTTTGGGCAGATGAACATCGCGAACGCGAGATAGCCCTCGCGTTCGCATTGAGGAAAAGGTCACCTGGGCAGAATGGTTTTAATAACATTTCCTCCGCGAGTCTAAGGTATTTTTCCACCATTTTTGAACATCCTTGAGAGCTTTTCGAAGGGATTTGAAGAGGGATTCGACTGGAGTTGATTGAAGGTGAGTTCTATGACCTAAATACATGATTTAATGGTAGAATCAACATAGAAATTTATGAAAATTCATCAAAAAGGGGGAAAAGCTAGGGCTTGGAATTTGATATTTCAAAGTGGGATTTGATGGGTCATTTGGGCTCGAATTTGGGAGTTTTTGGTATGTATAGACTCGTGGCGAGATAAGGAATCAGATGATGTTAAATTTTTTGATTTTTGAGAAGTGGGCCCGGGGCTCGGGTTTTGCAAATTTCGTAAAATTCGATATTTTTCGAGTCTTTTCGATTGGGTTATGTTCCCTTAGCCTATTGTAACGTATTCGTTGTGGTTTTGATCATATTCGACGCGCGAGGAGGTCGATTTTCGAGGCAAGGGCATAGCGAGCTAGGATTTTGGCCGGCTTGAGGTGAGTAATGATAGTAAATGATATCCTGAGGGTTTGAAACCCCGGATTTGCACAACGTAGTGCTATATTGAGGTGAAACACGCGCTTCATGCCGAGCGCAGGGTTGTTTACTACTGGAGATTATGACTTGGTCCATCCCGATTGATATTTTTACCGCGTATTTGACTGAGATGTATTTGTTATCAACATGATTTGTGCCTATTGCTATATTTTGGGCTTCATGCCGATTACTTGAATCCTTCGTGGACTTTTATCACTGTTTCCTCACTATTTTGATATACTACTTGAACTCAGTCCTGTTGAATATACTGTTTTACAAACTCAGCTGCTTTAATTGAACTTTGAGACTTAAATGATATTTCCACTGTTGTTTGGGCTGGGCACTACTATTTTATTGATGCCCGAGGGGCCTATGTTGATTTCTGGACTGAGTGAGGCCGAGGGCCATATGTGAGGATATGTTGAGTGTGATGTGAGAAGGCTTTCAGGCCTTGAGTGTGATGTGAGGAGGCTTTCAGGCCTTATGTTGATATAGCGCTTGGGCCGTAAGGGGGCCTTCCGGAGCCTGCACACCCATAGTGAGCGCGGGTACCCATATGATCTAAGAGTGAGCCCGAGGGGCTGATATTATGCTGAGTGACTGATACTAAGCCTGAGGAGGGGCAGTTTTACTATTCACTATTTATTTGTTGTCTTACCTGATTTACCTGTCTTTAACAGCTAAGATTTCATTTGACTCTTTAGGGATTTTACTGTTTAAAGTGATTTACTGCCTGATATAGAATTGCCTTGTGCTATTATGTGTTTTCTTACCTTCGGTTATTATTTATTATTATTACTCACTGGGTCGGAGTAATCACGTTACTCCCTGCACCATGCGTGCAGATTCAGGCATAGTAGAGTCCGCACCTGAGCACTGATATTCTTCCCAGACCAGGCAGCGAGTTGGAGCTTCGAGGTAGCTGTTGACGTCCGCAGCCCCTTGACTCCCCTATTTTATGTTATTTCAGTTCCTTCAAACTATTGTATCAGATATTCTATTTCCTAGACTTATAGCAACTCTGTAGTAGCTCATGACTTGTGACACCCCGGTTTGGGCTGTGTCGGGATGGTTCCCTTTGCTATTGTCGCTGTTTTCGCTTTTATAACTGTTTTATACGCGTTTTGGATTTATTGATGTTAAGTAATTGTTAAAAGGAGTGTTTCCGTTGTTCTGACCGGCCTTGTCTTCACGAGAAGCGCCATCACGGCCGGGGTTTGGGATTCGGGCCGTGACAACAACTTTAATTGATTTTTTGGCCTGTGATTCATAATATTTGATTTTTTTTATATATCAAGAAGGTATTAATTTCTTTGTTCCAAAGTTTCTCTTGGAGTAAAGAGTCTTGAAGTATCTATTATATTTTGAATGAACAAATTAAGGTTAATATGGTCAATTTTATTGTTAATTAATGCTAATATATATAAATTTATGTATAATACCAGTTTGAAAAGTTATGTGACATCTATGAGGGAGTAGGGGTAGTTTGGAACAAATAAAATCTTTGAGTCTAGACTAAATTAAATTGAAAAATAATTGAATAACTATTTTGTTTAGTTTAAAATTTAACTTAATGAATATAAAAGTCGACCAAATACTTTTAATTGGCAATAACAACTCTTTGAAGCTCAAAAACTTAGTTCCTGACTATATGTAACGTTGTTATGATTTATTTTCACAAAATAAAAGTTTAAACAAAATAGAAAAATATAGAATGTTCAAGTTAAGTGATTTCCTAGTAGAAAGGAAATCTGAAAATGTTTATTCAAGGTCTATCGGCTTTCCCCCCTAAATATTAGAATAAGTATAATGTAGTTGTATCATAATTAAAGTGGATCGTGTATATAAGGTAAACTCTTTACTGATTTTCAAATTTATTTTTTCAAGAGTTTAAATAAGGAAAGATATAATAAATAGAAATTTAGTTGATGTGAAAGTCCTAAATATTAGGAAGATAAGTAAAATGACAATTTTATTCAATGTAAAACCTATTTAAAGGGGTAAAAAAGGCGAAAGACATTTTGCTAAGGGCCTTCATGCTTTTAATATAGTATAGATAGATAGATATAGATATAGATAATACAGATGAATCCTATCAATGTAACTTTACATATTCTTCTTCTTTCTTGGGGATCTTCTGAAATTTAACTCAAATCTAGCTTAAATCTACGCCAAATCACTTCAAATTTAAGTTTTGAACTCCTCTTGATGATTGCAATCAATTGGGACAACACCCAATCCAAACAACTAACAAATCAAATAACACAATTTCTGAAATCGAAGCTTTGAAACACCTTTAATGGTGACTTCTATTTTCCAAGTTTTTAATCAACCACTGAAATTAGAATTACACGTGGAATGAGGATAAGACTGAGACCATGCCAATAAGTTCTTTCTAGTTTGGTGATCCAACAACATACCAAGTGAACCTCTTTAGTGCAAACACAGTTCTTTCTACACTCCATTGAAGGAAGTGATCTTCATATGACTCTAAAAAACTAATTCTTCTATGTATTATTTTTTCTTCTTCATCCAAATAGTGATATCGGCTTTGAATCTGGAAGAGCATTGATGAAGAATAACAATGATGGAGAAATTTGGGATGCAAAGTTGGGACACGAGGAGAAGAAGAACAGAGAAAAGAAAAAAATTTTTAAAAGGAGTGGGCTAATGGGTGAAAAGTAATTTTTACATTATATACAACCTGAGCCATACTGGGTAAGGGCTTTAAACGCGGGCCATTTTTTGATGGGCTATTGAGCCAAGTGATAAGGAGTGTAATTCTCCCAATTAAAAATGAGAAATTTTCACAAACCACTATTGTTTAGTGGTTATTAGCTAGTTGTAGCTACCATTTACTATATTACTTCCTATAGCTATATTTTCAGTTTTTTTAGAGTGTATTAGATGTATTTAAGCTACTGTACTCATGAATACAGTAGCAAAACTCGACGTGAATCAGGGGATTCCAGCTAGACAATTATTGTATTCGACTGTATTCACGATATGTATTTGTGAATACAATAACGTAAATAGCGCAAATCGTGATCTATTAAGCTGTTTTTAAACGGAAAGTGAATCAATTAACATAAATAGACTCCTAATATAACTCAACAAACTCAATTATAAATCTGAATACATAAATACATCTGAACACATAAATTGTATTAATTAAAAAAAAATATATGAATACATTCATGGAATATAGCGAGACAGTGAATACAATGAAATACATGGAATACATCGAGATACATTGAAATACAATGAAAAAAAGAGACAATGAATACAATGAAATACATAGAATACAACGAGATACATTGAAATACAATAAAAAAGGGTAGCAGACTCTTCAAGTTGCTCAGCCCCAAACTCCGTCGTCTTTGTTCAAGAATGAAGATAAATCATTGGAGAAAAAAGCAAAAGCGAGGGGAGACGCGCGTGAGGACACGCACCGGCGTACAAAAACAACTCTGGGTACCCAATAACAAGCCCACTGTCCGAAGACAAATTCGCTTATTCAAAATTGAATTTAGAGAGTGAACTGAAAATGGCTTTGCCTTTGAAATTGAAGGAGACGTTCTTCATATCACATGGTTCCCCTACGCTTTCCATAGATGAGTCTTTGCTCGCCAGGCACTTCTTAAAAGGCTTTAGAGAAAGAATTTTAAATCAAAAGCCGAATGGGATATTGATGATTTCTGCTCATTGGGAAACTTCTGAACCAACTGTTAATTCTATTTGTGGCCGCTATGATACCATTCATGACTTCTACGACTTCCCTAAACCCATGTATGAGGTGCTTTAATTCTCCTCTCTTCTCTATTTTTTTTTTATTTTCTGATTCTCTGGAAAGGAATTCATAGCCAAACTAGAAATACAATTATAGAGATGAATCAGTGGAGAATCATGATTGTATTCATGGCGAAAGACTGGCATTGAGAGAGAGGATGGAGAAAAATCTGAAAGAATGAAAGAGAAAAATAATACGAAGCTTATTTTATGGCTTAAGAGTAGAAGGTGTCCATAAATAGATATTTTGGCAATAAAAATTAAAATATAACTATGGAATATAATTTTTTAAAAAGGTATTTATTTAAATCATTCCAAATTTCATGGTTTTCTGGAAAAAAAAAAAAAGGAATCTTTTTTGGCCAAACGGGCACTTGGAGTTTAAACTTTATAATTGAAAATCCTAGTACTAGTTATGCTTTTATACAGTGAACGAGCCAATTGTCTAGCAAAACAAGCCAAACGCCGGAGATGGCGACGACGCCAATGATGCCGCCGATGGGGAACCCAAACTTTGATGGAGGTGCACCGCCGCAGCCGCCGCAGCCGGGGACTGACATGACAGGAATATGCTTCAGGGACCAGTTATGGCTGAATACATATCCGCTGGATCGTAACCTAGTATTTGACTACTTTGCCCTTTCCCCTTTCTATGACTGGACTTGCAACAATGAGCAACTCCGATCACGCGCAATTCACCCGCTCGATATTTCTCATTTATCGTATGATTTTTATCTCTGAATCCTTCTGCATCTGTTCAATTTTATTCCTTTTTCTTTAACTTTTCATTTCCCCCAAATTAATGGTTCCGTTAACCTGAACAATTAGTAACAAATTACCTCTAGTTTCATGCACAACTTATTTACCGTGCAATTGACCTATTATTTGCTAGAGTTTAAGTTGTCTGCAATGACGGTGTAAAAATATATTTACAATCAGGTGATTTATAAGGTAGTTACAAGTAAATCTTTGTTATAATCATTACTTGTTAACCTGATAAAAATTGTAGTTAACCTATCATTACAGGTTAAACTAAGCTGATAGTGTAAAGATTATTTAACAGTGCATATAATTAAATCATTTGCTAATTGATGTGCAGGAAAATGACGGGCAGTGAATACACGCTGAGTGAAGTTATGGAACCACATCTTTTTGTCATCCGTAAGCAAAAGAGGGACAGCCCCGAGAAGGTTACACCGATGCTGACTTATTATATACTGGATGGTTCAATATACCAAGCTCCACAGCTCTGCAATGTGTTTGCAGGTCGACTGGTTAGTAATCTCCTCTTGTTGCACCTTGGTACAGAGTGTATTTTTATAGGTAGTAATTGTTTTTCACTGTATGCATCTTGCATTCTTGTTTGCCATCACTATAATATAAAATTGATTAAAATTTAACTGAGATTCATATGTGTGTGTGCGCCCAATGGCGGAGTCAGGAATTTCACTAAGGGGTGTCAAAATATAATGAAGTAAACACACGAAGATGTTAACGGGATTCTACATATAGTATATATACATACAAATAAAAAAAATTCCTAACTACACTATTGAAGACATAATTAAGTAAATAAAAGTGTTTCTCTCTAACAACTTAAGCTTTTAGATGGGATGGTTACACACTTCAACATGGTATCGGAGCAGGTTAAGGTCTTGGGTTCGAGTCTCACCACCATCCAATATCAAAAAGAATTTCCACGTGCTTGGCTCATAAAAAAGGATCAAGCCCGCACGTGCGGGGGCGTGTTAAAGACATAATTTAGTGAATAAAAATATTTCTCTCTAACAGCTTAAGCTTTTAGATGGGATGATTACACACTTCAACATACACAATGTAATTGACACCCCTTAGCTTAAGGTGGCCTTAGCTTAAGGTGGCCTTAGCTTAAGGTGGCTCCTCTGTTGTATGTGCCTGTGTGGTATATCGACCAATAGGGATGTCCGCTGATCAGTGTTTTTGCCATCTAGGCACCTAAACTTAACTGAATACTTAATGGTGGATAGAGTTAAATTAAGAAATTTAGATTTTATCCAAGAAAAAAGAATAAAAAAAAGGGAACATTCTTAAAAGTAGGTGGCAGCACTGAGAGCAAAGTACTGAATGGAAGTAGATTGGAACAAGGGCTCTGTTCAGCCACACGAAAAGCTGCGCACAGTGAATAAACGAGCTGTTTTCACTGTAGTTGTATTCCAGCAGAGATCACTTATGTTATTTTCTTAAAACTTTGTTTCTGTTTTGCCCTCTGGCACCAAATGTTGCAAAATATATCATATACGACAGAGTTTCATTCCTATTTGTTGACTGTAGTGTAACTGCATGTTTGGACTCATTAAAGGCATTTTCATAATTTGGCATGGGATGTGTAGGGATTTCTAGGTAGTCGAAATGCTTGAGGAGTTCTCTGTAGGAAAATTATGCAGTTAAGTGCATCTTAAAGATCTCATTTTCATCCGGTCTTTCTTTGACGGTGCAGTTTAATAGGTGATATTAAGGTGGTTAGCTTGGACAGTGGATAGGGCAGTTATGCTTTAGAGGAATCTGAAAGGATATAAGATGAAAGAAAAATGGCGGAGATACCATGAATTCCACCTAGAAATTAACATAGACATAAGAATCCCTAGAGGAGGTGGTAATGGTAATCTGTGCAGAGTTTTTCATTGTTTTATGACAATCAGTATTGAGTGTGAGCACCTAATTTTTGATTATATTTAAGTTTTTACTACTTTTTAGTATTTAAATTGTTTTAAGTTTAATCTTTATATTTTAGCTTTTGTTTCACCTTCTTATAGGTTTTATGTGAGAAAATTGAAAACCAACAAAAAGATTCACATTTTTAGAGTATTAAATTTCGTTCTAATTTGCAAAAGAAAAGAAAACTCATAAAAATATGCTTTCCTCTTAAGTTTAGTAAGTTAGTGATTTTGAATTATTTGAAATAATTTTTAGAGAAGTAGGTAAGTATTATTTTTATTTCTTGTTATTTTAGTTAAATAGGAGTATTATTTTTATTTTGTCTATTTATATATCCTTTTAAAAAGAAAATCAAAAACAAAAAGAAAAGAAGAGAAAATCGTATGTGGACACATCATCACAAATGGACAAAGTTGCATAACAAACTCACATGCTCAAGGGTTCTTTCTGATCTTTTTCAATTTACAGTGCACACCCATCCCTTTTGGCCAAAAAGAAAAGATACCCACACACAGTCAGAGCATATTTTTTACTCGTCCTTACCCCTTCTTTTTCTTTCTCCCCAAGTCACGTACACAATATAAATACACACACTCGTCAGGCAAAAGGGGGAGGACATTCTTTGCACAAAAAAAGGGGTTGGGGAAAAACAGAGAACGAAAAAGGGAGGCCAAGCAAGAAGAATAGACCCCCAAACCCTCTTCTTGCTCCATAAAATCCCAACCTAAAGCCACCATGAAAGAACCTTGAGTCTCACAATTTCCTTCACCATTTTTACCCGAAACTAGCTCTTTAACACACCAAAAACGACCAGAAATAACTCCAAAAATACCCCCCCCCCCCCC